CTACTATTCTTCATCTCCACACAAATTGATCCTACTGCCTGATTTACTGAACCAATATCATCTCTAACTATTGTAAAAATGCCATCTTCGATTAACAATGCTACCTCTCCACTTTAATGTACTTTCCTAATTCTCTTGAATATCATACACCCCTCAATTTTCAGAACAAAATCTTTTTCACCTGAAACCATGTCTTTATAATGGCTTTTAGGTCTTATTTAATGCATGCTGTCAAGTTGTTTACTTTGTCATGATTGCTGTACACTTTCAGATGCAGAGCCTTCAGTCTTGTCTGTATGTTATCTTTGTAACATCCGATGTTAATTGCTGGTGTATTCCTAAGTTTCCTTTTCTGTCATGAAATTTCCCAATGGTGGCCCGGAAGCACACAAAATAGAGAAGGGTGGTATACTCCAACTGTTATTGGGAGTGATTTTCCTGGATCGTGGGTCTAATGGGAAGGCTACCAGTGTAATGGAGGCATGCTTCCTCTGGCTGACCAGGGATCCATGGGAAGCTGGTTTTCCATGTCCCAAAGAAGGGGCCTTGGGAGTGTAAAGCGCCTTCATGGCCCCAATATATCATCAGCAAAACTAAATTATTCCCACTGCCAAAGGTGGGTTATGTCTTTAAGGAGCAAGCTCTACTGACTGCCAACATCGCATCACTAATTTGGTCGAAGCAGGAAGATAGGTTGTCTTGGCAAAGTCTGGTTAATGCCCTGTACAAAACCTACTTCCAAAAGCAAATTTGTCTCAGTAAAAAGAAAAATAAAAGTTACTGGGAAATTTGATTGAAAGAATTGTATGACCATTGTGATCCTGCCAGTATCATACAGTAAAAGAACAACATTTTTCTTAATTGTTCATGGGATGTAGATAACGCTGGCATTTATCATCCAGCACTAGTTGCACTTGAGAAGATAGAGATAAGTTGCCTTCTGGAACTGCTGCAGAAGGGATTTTGACCCGTGGGACACTGAAGGAACAGCGATATATTTCTGAGTCAGGATGGACGACGGTTTGGATGGGACCTTGCTCCCATGTATCTACTTCACTTGTCTTCTAGACGATAGAGGTCAAGAGTTTGGATGGTGCTGTCAGGGGAGCCTTGGTGAGTTAATGCAATAGATCGGTGGTAAAGGGATAGAATGTTGAAAGTTATGGTAGTGGTGCCAATTGAGCAAACTGCTTTGTTCTAGATGGTGGTAAGCTTCTTATCTGCTGTTAGAGCTGTATCCATCAAGCCACCACACTCCTGACTTGTTTCTTGTAGACAGGCTTTGGGAGTCAGGAAGTAAGCTACTTACTAGCCTCTGACCTGTTCTTGTTTATATGGCTGGTCAAGTTCAGTTTCTGGTCAATGGTAACCTGCCAGGATGTTGATTGTGGGGGATTCAGTCACGGTAATGCCATTGACTGTCAAAGAGTGATAATCTGTTAGAGGCAGAACTTACGAGGCACCAATGTTACTTGCCATTTTTCAGCACAAGACTTCAGATGACACAGCCTGAACTGAAATTAAAATTCTATCCAATAGGCAACGAAACCAGTCAACTACTCCCTGGGAGAAGTGAAAAGATCCTCATCTCTTATTTGATTTGCACCATTTTGAGAATCTTGACATGTTGGAGATGAAATTTCCTTTGCAGATGAATTGTATAAATTAATTTCTAGTTCACAAAGTTCTTAGTGGCTGAAGCAGGGAAAATGGATTATGATGGCAATACTGAAACAGGCTAGAGAAGGGTCTCTCTCTTTCTCTGTCTCTCTCTTTCTTTCTTTTTGCCTAGGTGAAAAGCCCAATGAAACACTGACGAGAAAGAAACATGATCACATGCAAAGAACCTAAAAGAAAACTGCAATATTCTCTACCCCTGACAGTCCTAGATTGATTTCTGGAATGGCAGGACTAACATATGAAAAGAAACTGGATCTAGCATATGAAGAGAAACTGGATCGGTTATGAGTATAGTCATTGGATTTTAGAAGAATGAGGGGGAGATCTCATAGAAACCTATAAACCTCAAACAGGACTGTAGGGGTGACCTGTACCTGGCTATGTAAGGTGACTTGTACCTGACCACACTAAGTAGCCCATGCCTGCTTACAAGATGGCAGACAGAAGCTAAGCAAAAAACTAAGCAGCCTGCTCACACAGTGAAATACAATGGTACCTTTGCTAGAAGGTCAGTAAAAGAACACTGTATGTTCCTATCCAAGACAGTTCTGATAAAAGGATGGCTTAGGACAGATAAATGACCAATTCCAGCTTTATTAACGAAATGGTGATTGTCCCAGTAAATGAATAATGTCAGCTGCCAGATTAGGTCCTCAAGCAGCTGCAAGGATAACAGCTAAAGTCATTTTGTAGTAAATAGTTGCCTCTTTGAAGCTACCAGCAATATAAAATAGTTTCTAGCTAAAAATGCTCTAATCATAGAAGTTGGTCTCAATAGATAACCAGGATTTAATATAAGCCTTAAAAAAATTTAAGCATAGATCTAAAGATTAACTAGCCTTAGAAAACACCTTCTCTTATGCCCTAAGCAAGATAAATTGATCACAATGCCTAAATTACAAAATGGTGACAGTAGAAGTAGTCGTATAATACTACACTTATAATTAACTTTATAAAGAAGTTAACCTTATAGCAATTAGTTAAAACTAACTGACTTTTTAATTTTACATTATGTAATTGGGACAGTAGGAAAATAAAAGGAGTAACTGAATGTGATAAAAGACAGCACCAAAACACAATGAGTAACAGAATTTGAGCTGTACTTACACATAAGCAAGCCTGAGAAAGACCTGAAGGAGTATAACCATTAAACATTTAGAATGCGAATGAATTGGATCCATGGGAAGATCCCAAGGCCTAGAGATTAAGATCATGGGAACCTGGGGATGTCCATGGAAATGCTCATTACTGATTAGGTGTCCCACAGGATTGGGTGTTTGAATTAAGGGGAAGGACGATGACTACGTTGTTTTTGATTACTGTAACACAAAGAGTATAAAAATGCTGTATTTCTTTGTAAAAGCAGAGGGTGTGTCATTGGTCTATCTTCTGAAGCCAGATTTGGGGGAAGATCCTTTGGCCCTCTCCTTGCATAAATCAGTTTCTACTTGAATAAACATCTTCCACTTGCCTGAATCCTGCCAGTCTCATGAGTTTTCATCCTGGGCTGGGAAAAACACTCCTACAAGGACTATACAGGGTAAACACACAAAGGACATTCCAGATGACTGGTGAGTCCATAACCAGGGGTCACAGACTAAGGATATGGGGTACGCCATTTAAATTTGAGAGAAGTAAAAAAATTCTTCAAGCAGAGAGTAGGTTGAGAACAAAAGCACTTGAGAGCAAAACATTAAATGTTTTCCAGAAGGTATTAGATATTGTTCTTAGAGCTAAAACATCAAAGGGCATTGGTCAGAAGAGGCAACAGAGTCCTGAGTTAGATAATCAGCCATGAACATACTGAATAGCGGAGCAGGCCCGAAGGGCAGCATGGCCTTGTCCTGCTCCTATTTTCTATGTTTCTAAATATTCACACTGAGATGATGACAGAATATCAGAAAGGGTGAACAATGTAACCAACAATTTATTTTCTAATCTAAATGTTAGACGCAAAATGACAACAAAACAGAAAATAACTCAAATTTGAGTTAAATAAAACAAAGGATGAGAAATAAAATTGGAAAGAAAGAGAGGAGAGAAAGGAGAGAAAAGAGACATAAATAGAAAGGAAGAATTTTTCTTTCAGTGTAGAATTGCAAGAGACCTTGAGAAGTGACTTACTTCTTACAGGAATGAAGTTCAATTGTTTCTGTTGGTCAATTCCAACACTGAAAAATTGAGCAGCATTGCATGAACTCATTTCTTCAAGACTGTTATGTTGACAAGTAACAGCCATCAGAGTTTACAGTGAACTTAATATATATTTACTGATCAAATACTGCAATTTCTTGGCACTTATGGGGGATTGAAGGTGAGCTGTCACTTTTGTGATGGGATGATGTGTTAATAGTGGTGGTAATAATAGTACTACTAATAATAGTGGTAATGTCATTGGACTAGTAATCCAATGAACCAGGTCAATTAATGCGCAAGGATACTAGGTTCAAATCCTACCACCGCAGCGGATGCAAGTTAAATTTAGTACATAAAATATGGAATTGGAAGTCAGTCTCAATAATGGTGAAAATCCGATTCATTCAATATTGTCTTTTCAGGAAGGAAACTGACTATCCTTACTCGGTCTGGCCTATATATTACTCTACTTCCATTGTAATGTGGTTGGCCTCTACCAATCCTCTGAAATGGCTGAGGAAGCTACTCAATTCAAAGGTGATTAGTGATGGAAAATGAATATTGACCTTATCAGTAATGCCCACATCCCTTGAAAAAGAAAAAACAGATTGTTATGGAAAGGCAGAATTGGCCAAAAATGTTGAAGAAATTTGCAACTCTAAAGTAATCACTTCCTCACCAGAAATTGTTGTTTTCAAATTTTTTCTTTAAAACCAGGTGGCATTTTCCCAGCAAGTTCTGGCCAATTACACCCTTCATTCAATACTCCAATACAATCATGTCTTTTGATAGCAAACAGCCCAAAATCACTCATCTGGCCTGACCAATGATTTATGTAGAATTAAAACAACTGGTTTTGATTTCTTGTTAAATTCCACGAAGGTGGATTATTGCCACTATATCTGGTTGAACACAGCCTCTTAGGGTTAAACCTTTGAGAAAAAAATAATTCAATTAAAATATTGGCAAAGTTACTATCAAAATGGTGTTTTGTGCTGAATGCTACAATTATTTTGTTACTTCAGATTTTTTCTGCATGATCAGAATGCCAAACATACATGACATTACTCTTTAGAGGATTCTTCTGAAGTCTCTTGCTGATGTAGGAAACCTTTGTTAACCATGTACAGTATGGCCTGGTCGTGCAATTTTAAAAAATTAGAAAGAATCCAAATAGTACATACGTTCTTGAAAGGATGTGAAAAGCATCTGGAAGTGACTGCTCCGACTTCCCTCATCAGCCCACATGCGAATGACGCCCAACCCTGTGCGAAGCATCAAATCATTGGCTACGGTGCTGCAGAATTTGGCTTTAAGATCCTCCACTGCATTGCTTCCATCATATATTGCCACAAAATTGCGCTTACACTCATTTGAATTCTCCATCTCGTAGTCGAGAAATCTCAAGTAAATCTAATGAAAAAAGAAAAAGATTCACAATAATAAAGAGTGGATCAAAAGCTCTCTTTCAGCCCTTCAGCCTACTTGCACAGCACATTACACCTTGTCAATTCCATCCTAAAGACACTAGTTCTGCATTTTTCAGCGCTTCATTATGATGAATTCAGTGGTGCGACCAGTCCTTCAGCGAGAACATGTTTAATTATAAGACAGCTGACTTTACAGGTCAAATGACTGCACTGCAAAGACAGTTTGTAAATTGACAACTCGTTAGAAATGGACCAAGTTTCATATTCTAGAAACCAACATGACTTTGAAGTGAATGTTAAAAATAAAAAAAACTGGAAGCTGATATGAAATTGTTCAAATAGAGACACAGATATGACTACGTTAACCAAAAGATAGATGATGCAATTAGACTACACAATGGCGTATGTTTACTCAGAGAGCTCTTGTGGCACAGTGGCAGTGTCCCTATCTCTGAGGTAGAAGGTTTTGGTTCAAGGCCCACCTCCTCCAGATGTGTGTCCTAATGCATTTGAACTGGCTGATTAAAAATATCTGTGTGTTAACTCAGATTTAGTGGCTACCTTGATCCCTGAACTCCTAATGGCAAGCTGTAACTATCACCTAAAACCCAATTGCTCCAGTTCCATTAAATCTGTGTCAGCACCCAAATCCTTTCGGAAATGCAATTCTTAAACCTCATTCAACAATCTATTGATGCTGATAATACCTTTATACATTAACAGGCTATTGACCAACCAGAATGTGGAATTGACAGACGACGTAGGTGTTACAATCAAAAGAAGGGGCTGTTGTACACTTTAGTTTGATTTACTTGTACTTTAGGAAGAATGTGTTGAGGAAAACGGGACAACTTGCAAGGATAACTTCAGATTTGTTATATACGTAGATTGGAGCATACTTCCTTGAGTAACCATCAACGACTGCTGTACAAAATTGAGGACAGTGAAAGGGGACAGTGACTGAGTAATGACTAAGGACTAGGATATTAATATTTACATGCTATTGGTGGAACAGTGAATGGCAAACAGAGTACTAAGTCATACTGAACTATAACGCTTGTCCATTTTGCCTCACCTGGAAGATTTCAGGTCAGAAATTTGAGTTTGTTATGGAGATTCATTATCTAAAACATCAATTTATAATATCATTGACTGGATATACATATGTGTGATATACAGAGCAAAGGACACTGGCTACAGCAGCAAAAATGTTGTATTTGTAAAGAACAAAATGATTGAATGGAGACACCAATTCTATAACATTTCTGAAAGAGGTCACAAGACCCAGTTTGTGAGTGATAAAAATGCTGTTTTGAACACAGTCAGAGAGAACTTCACACATGGGGAAATATCTTTGCTCTCTCTGTCTGTCTGTCTGTCTCTCTCTTTCCCTCTTTTTCTCTGGAATGCTTTTTACCTACATTTGCATATTGAAAACTCATTGGAAGATCTCATTATCATAGGTGGAGGGTTTTAAAAGAAGCAATAGCAATCTAAATTTTTGTCTTCAATAAAGAGAATTCAACCAGCATGACTGATCCAAGAAGAGACTTCAATGACTAGTATCTTTTCTGAATTTAACTGTTACCTGGTCAAAGATAACATTCTGTAGTGATATTCCTTTCTTTTTTCTCCAGGCTTGGTGGAATACATATCCTTTATTTGAGCAATATTTATTTTGCAAAAAACAAATTATTTGCTATTTTAAGGAATTTGTTTGAGTTGTTTCTGGTACTGAACAATATACAGTCTAATGTACACATAATCGGCAAGGTCATCTTCCTTTTTAAATTAAAATTGGAGGAGTGGGTCAAGAAAAGGAATCAAGCCCACCTCCTAACTAGGAGAATGACAGTATAAGAGGGAAGTGCCACTTATCTACATACAGCTCTTCCCATTGATTCACCCCACCTTGCCTAAGTTAATTGAATCAATGCAATTGTCAAAATGCTGTGGAATCTGCTTATTGCAATCATCCAAAGCAATTCCCACTCTGACCACACTAACCAACTAATACCACAAACTCAATTAGTTGTTTTCTAGGTACATCCAATTGCCATTGTTGAACCTGAGACCACTAATGGCTTCAGACTAAGATTCAATGAACAAAATTTTTACTCATTCAAAATCTATCATTACAATCCTAGACCTGATGAATAAATTCATGATACAATCTGGCTCAGGATCAGAAACCTTTCTTTTTACTTAGACAAAGTGCAAGATTCAGTGGACTTACTAAGAGAATAGCTCACCAGACAATGAGATTATGGCTGACCTGATGTTCTTAAACTCCACTTTCCTGACTTATTGTCATAACACTGGATTCTCTACTGACTAAAATTGTATCTACCAATGCCTTGAATATACACAACAATCCATCCTCCTCTACAGCCCTCTGTGGTAAAGAATTCTAGATTCACTACCGTCTGAGAGAGATAAAATAAATCCTTCTCATCTCTGTCTTAAATGGGTGATTTCACACGTTATGATTTTACCCTCTGGTGCTAGACTCTTCCACAAGGGAAAACAGCCTCTCGGCATCTACCATGTCAGGCCTCCTAAGAATATTCTACGTTCCAAAAAGGTTCCCTCTCATTCTTCTAAACCCGTGAGTACAAGCACAGCCTACTCAACATCTCCTCATAAGAAAATCCATCTTTTCCCTGATCAATCCAGTGAACCTTCTCTGGATTGCTTCCAGTACCAGTATATCTTTCCTTACATAAGGAAATCAAAACTGTTTGCATTATACCAGATTTGGTCTAACTAGTGCCTTGTATAATTTTATACTATTTTTGTACTCCATTCTTTTTGAAATGAAAGCCAGCAGTGAGTTTACCTTCCCTTTTACTCACTGCACTTCCTTACTTGTTTTGTGATTGTTGCATGAGAACCCCTCTGTGCTGCAGATTTCTGCAGTTTTTTTCCCATTTAAATAATATTCAGCTCCTCTTTTCTCCCTACCAAAGTGCATAATTTCATATTTCCCCACATTATATTCCATCTGCCAAATTTTTGCCCATTCACTTAACCTTTCTATACCCTTCTGCAGACTCTTTTTGCCATTCTCACTTTTTGCCTCCCTACCTATTGTTAAACTTGACTGTAATGTATTCACTTGTCTCATCTCAGTTATTAACAAATACTGTAAATAATTGTGGCCCCAGCACTGACTCCTGCTACACTTCACTGGTTACAGATTACCATCCTGAAAATGCCCCCTTTATTCCAACGCTGTCTTCTATTAATTAGCCAATCCTCTGCCAATACACTTTCTCCAAAACTATGGACTCATCTTATTAAGTAGCCTTACATGTGATACCTTATTGAATATCCTTTATTTATTCTGCTTGTCACTTCCTCGAGGGATTCTAGTAAATGTGTCAGGCATGATTTCCCCTCCACAAAGCTATGCTAACTCGGCTTAATTATATTATGTATTCTACATGAGCATTTTCTGAATGACAGATGTTAAGCTAAGTGGCCTATAGTTACCTGTCTCCCATCCTTTTGAATAAGGGTGTTACGTTGGACATTTTCCAATCCTTTGGGACTTTTCCAGAATCAAAGGATTCTTGGAAGATTACTGCCTGTGAATTCACTATCTCTGTAATTACTTCCTTTAACACTCCAGCATGAAACCTATCAGGTCCAGGGGATTTGTTGGCCTTCAGTCCTATAAATTCCCCTTGTACATTTTTTTCTAGTGATAGTTACTGTGCTTATTTCCTCTGCTCTCTTAGTCCTTTGATTATTTCATGTCTTTGGTATCTGTTAGTGTCCTGTACCTACTAAAGAAGGATTCATCACATTATCAAAAACATAGTGTTAAAATGAAGCCTTAATAACTTCTTCTCATAAAACAGCATCATATTCTTCATCACTGCAAACACTGTTAATTGATTGTTTCCCATTTCTGTTTTTAAAATCTCCCCTTACATTCAAGTGTTGCTAGTTCAGCTTGTTGAGTGTAATCTACCATATTCAATCGCTCAGGCTTTTATTCTCTGAAGCGCCTGAAATGCATTTAAGGAAATGGAAGCAAGCAAAGATTGCACACAGTGCTCCTTGTACTTATGGTGGCTCAGTGGTTAGCACTGCAGCCTCACAGTGCCAGGGACCTGGGTTTGATTCCACTCTCAGACGATTGCCTGTGTGGAGCTTGCACATTCTCCCCATGTCTGCATGGGTTTCCTCTTAGTGCTCCGGTTTCCTCCCACAATCCAATGATGTGCAGGCTTGGTGGATTGGCCATGTTCAATTGTCCATAGTGTTCAGGGATGTGTACATTAGGTGGGTAATTGGGGGATGGGTCTGGGTGGGAAACTCCAAGGGTCAGTGTGGACTTGTTGGGCTGAAGGGCCTGTTTCCACACTGTAGGGATTCTATGATGATAAGCAGTGTTCAACATGAAAACATGGATTAGCTTAGTATAACATGTCTGTATCTAATGGAGACTGATTCCTGTGGGTAATTTAATTCTTTTTCTTAGATTCCCAGCAAGCTATGAACCATTTTATGGGAAAGCAACTGGGCAAATAGTTCAAATTCAGATTCTGTCCCATTCTACTCAACACTGGACCCATCTGACTATTGGCCTAGCACAGCCTGGCAAATGAAGTGCAATGTCTCGAGTAACTAGCACGTTCAATAATTCAATGGACAAGATCTTTCCACTGCACTCATTCTTATAAACCCTCATTACTACAAATTGTAGGAGATACAATGCACTTGTTACAAGTTTAAAAGCTTCCTTTACTGGCTGGCAAGGCATTTGTAACAATGGAGCTCATGTTAATAAGCGTTAGTTGACTTAAGAATCTTTGGTTAATGAGAATAACAAGAAAACATATCTTTTGTTGAAAGTGGTAATGGCAATTTCTATAAGCCGGGGGCCTGGCTTCAGGCATCATAGAATTGATGCATTGTGGAAGCAGCCCATTTGGCCCATCAAGTTCACAACAACCCTCCAAAGAGTATCCA